GCCGCGGCGGCCCGGCGGCGGCGACGCCCGCGGCGGATGACGTATTAAAGGCGGCGCGCCCCGCGTCATCCGACCTCATCCATGTTGGATGCCTCAATTCGCAAAAGTCCACCCTGCGGGCGGGCGGCTCGCCGTTGCCTATTTGCGCTGGGACGCCGTCGCCGGCGCCGCGACGCCCGGAATTATGCAGCGCCGCCCGCCGAGTGCCACTACTTCAATTACGCGCCCCCGGCGACGCCTTGCAGCGCGGCAGGTGCCGACGGCGGCCCGCGCGCCGGCCCAGGGCCGGCGATCTGTTTCGATTACACTCGCGCTGGCGCGGCGCAGTGAAGGTCACCGAGCACCCGCCCGATGGAACTAGAAGTGGCGGTGCAGTTAATGGACGTTAATTCCATTCCACGCTCTTTCTACGTGTTTCGTCTTCATTTTCTGAAACGAGCCTTTTCTTTATCTGGCAAACCGCTCACACATCAACATGAATTTTAAGCCGTAATATCTCATTAAGAATATTTATTCCTATATTCAGATAACTCCAATTTTACTTAATGTCCACTAGATAACACTAATTCTGAGACATGCATTATTTATGGAAGTGCACTGCAATGCCCGTCTAGTAATTACATGGATTTTCTTATGCGTTTTGAAGCAGCTCTCTATTTATTATGAAGTACCATTCACTGAACTAAGAATATCTCTTACACTTTAAACCTGTTTTAAAACTTATGTTGTCATTGCTTTCGAAATTTTCTTTCTGGAAAGCTATTTACATTCATTTGCACTAATATGTAATAAATGTTCTGAAAAGATATAAAAGTAACACAATGCATCTTTTATTAAATTATTAGCATAAAAACAGAGTCTGCTACTTACTATTACATATATTACAGAGAATTACTTTTACATATTACAAAAACGTGTACTATTATACCAGTCCACAACACATATGGTCTCCGAACTTCATCAAGAATTTGTAATTGCAACATTCAGCAGCCAGGTAAGTTTTCTAACTGCCATCATAATCTTGACAATTTCTGTAACTCCACAAAAATATTTATCAACAATACACAGAATACTATTTATAAATTAATAAAAGTATATTGAACTAAAAAAGACTGGATGTACTATTGGAAGTGCACGCACATCAGGGCAAAACTCTAAAGAAATTCGGCGCATGCAATGAAAGCGTTATTACTCTTAATCGTCGTTCACCAAATGACCGACAGATGTCGCATTCCACTGTACTTTCCACATTCACGAATCAGTTGAGCCTGCGACGCTGTCGGGGTTGTGTGTTCGTGGCGGTGTCGGGGTCAGAGCACAACAGGGGGGGAGCAAATGCCAAGTGTTCCAGGAGACACCAACGCGCGAGAAGCAGCAGCCTGCCTGCGCGTAGAGGTAAGTGAAAGAGCTACTCAGCACATTTATGCATAATTCATCACTAAAGAGCCATTCTGATAAAGGCTGTTTCGATACGCATTATTTGCAGTGAGGTTCACGAGATAACAATAAAAATATTCTAAGTACCGTATTTGTTTCGGGTCAAGTTTGACAGACGGATGTTGTATTAAACGTTTTATATGATCTTGTGAGTCAATAGTACATCTTTCGATTGTGAATTTTAAAAATGACATAAGAATTCTCATATAACGGCGATTTGTGACTGGTTTATTACAAGAGAGCCATGAAGAGGTATATTTGACATTCAAGTTGGTATTAATGTCATAGGCTTGAGTATAGAACTATCAGTTTAACTCGCTTTTATGTCTGTTTTTATCCATTATAGGTAATAAAAAAATGTAGTATTATAATACAAGGATAAATGTATTTACACTATGTATAGTTTCGTAATTTTATTTAGAAGTCACCCTTTTCTGGATATACATGTTAATTCTAGAAATGCGAATCCACAGTATTCTTTGACAAATATGAATTACGAATTCCTAAATCTTGTGCAATTTAGAAAATCGTGATTCTGTTTTTGTTACATTTACTTCAGCGAAATTATTCGTGTTGAGTAAAAGGATAAAAGAAAAAGTGCGGGAAAATGTAAAATACTAGTATGTTTCTTGAAAGTTCTTTATTTATGTAGTAAATAGGCCTATGCATTCAAAAAATATTCTATTAAAAATATAATTAAAGTAGGATATTTAAAACATGTATTGTAAAGTGTTCCTGTGAAGTATGATGACATAAAAGTACTGAAACGTACAATGATGAAGAACGATTAATTATTTTTTTCTACTAAGGATGGATGATGAGGATGTAGCGAGAATGCGGTAAAAGTGTGAATTGAAACCTTATTTCCATTGCCAATTCATTCTCTTTTTAACACGACCTTGATTGGCGAAGATGTACTTAGATGAACGGCTGCCAACTTTTGATAAAACACTGCGGCAGAAGCAAATCGCTGCAGAGAAGAGAACCGCACCTTCTGATATACCGATTTGCACATAAAACTAAAATACGACTGTGCCGAAATTTAAATTGGTATTTAACATGTTAATTGTTACATATTTTAACTTGTCCTTTCCCTCTTCCAGAATGTTCTGAATCAATCACGTAGTATACTACATTTAGTTTGACTGAACCTTGAGAGTTACAGTAGGGTTTCAAAACCCAACTCGCTGAATCGAATAGTTTTATCAGCATTATCAAGTAGTATTATGAGTATAATCAAGTATTTTTATATTAAAATAATTGAATACGTGCAATTAGATACTCAGAGCTATATTCCTTTCATCACATTATACTGAAGATAGTTAAAATATAGTAAACATGTTACAAGTGATTTTCGATATCGTTGCCAAACCAGACTCCACAATGAATTCGAACAATATGTTTCGAGAAACGAATACATAGCAAATATTACTGCCTTAGCTGTCATGCTCATGTTGAGAGTGTCCGAATATAATATCCGAAATAATGAGGATGAATTTAGTTGAAATATTTCACAGAATTTTTATAGTAAGAAACAGTACAGAACATTTCAATGTGCTTTTCTAACATAAACTTATAATCGGCTGTAATTTGTCGCATTCAATTAAAATTTTTAATGCTTTTTCTAAAAGTAATATTGTTTCTTAAACGCATCTGTACATTTCTTTTGCTTATCATATATGATGTGGTTTCATACATGTAAATTGCCATACCTTTCTTGGGAGATTTAAGTCCTATAACAACAGATAATTGATTTTAAAGTTACATTAAGGAACAGGTGTTTGCTTCCCCATGGAAGCATCAGGTTACGTATGTTCATAGAAGTATGATTCACTTGCGCTCTGGCTTCACATGGCTCTGGCGCATGGAACGGAGGATTGGGAATCTGTAACTGTTAAACAGTGTCTTTCAAGTTTGGCACAACTTGTGTAACGTATTAAGTGTGTGATTCCAATAATTAAGAGTCCGGATTCTTATTCAATTACATACTATTTTTTCTCTTTTTATGTTCAGTTCTCAGAATTATGATCTTGGAAAAATCATGACAATTCCGATCAGAATATCAAACTTTGTTACATATTTTTAGATACTTTACACTATATTACATTTATTTTACATGCTTTGCAAGATTTTATATTATTCTACCGACTTTCTTTAAGTATATTTCGTAAAAATAGTTAATGAATTATCAAAAGTAAATTTGCAGTCAGACTTTATCAGTCATATATCGAAATTCTATATAATAAAATTCTCTCTAAATCGAATATATTTTTCTGTCCCTTAAAAATTTCACTTAAAAAAAACTCTGTATGTCGAAAATTATTTATCGGGCTCATTTTCTAACTTGCCTATTTTTCTATGAAATAAAAATGTAACAATATTATAGTGTAAAAATACTACAAATTAGGTTTCTAGAAATTAGTATTGTTGAATTTGAAAGCAGAGTATTATCACTGCGGAAAATAGAACGTCCGTGTCGACGTTTGTTTAGTTCAATAAATGTTTAAAAAACTTTCTACGTCCTGTTTTCAGCTTTCTCATGAAGGTAACTCATTGCTACTATCCCTCCTCATGGAAATTCGCGGGCAAGCTTTCGCCAAAGCGATCTGAAGGTCAATTGCGTGTCCCTTCGCCCAATGGCTCTGCCCTCTGAGGTTAGTTTGTCAGTTCAGGGTAGGTTCTATTTGCTGTTTTGCGCTCAAGAAGAGTGTTCTAAATGTCGAAACTAAAATCTCTTAATCTTACAGAAAAAGAAATACTAATTTCATGTTCCTATTAATAAATATGTTGTACGAATATTAAAACATTTGTTAAGTATTTAATGTTTGCATTTTTCATTTTACTCTATTTTTTCAAAACCGTTTTAATAGCGTCTCCTAATATTTTATAACTATTTCCGTCTTTCGAAGTTTATATATATATATATATATATATATATATATATATATATATATATATATATATATATATATATATCGAATAATACTGAAGGAATCGTCAAATTAGATATATAGACGTCCGGCAATATTTAAAACATGTTTTTTTTTCTTTCGCAAATTCAGAATGGTATGCTGACAGTACTCATGCTAGAGGATTACGACACGTAAAGACAGGATGAGTTGCACTCCGTCTGTTCGCCGTGCGTGGTGCGACAAATGCACTCAGAATATTACCCTTAGGTTTCAAAGTATCAGCGAGGTAATACTTAAGCCAACATCTAAAACTAAGAATACATCTAAAACTACGAAGTCAATGTTATAATGATTGTTTCCTGTTATTGAGTTCCCACATTTGGCTAAATACGGGCCACAAGACAGCTATCATTACTCCCCAGGAAAAATAAAAAATATTATAATTCAGTAGGGAAAGCTATACTTTTTTAAAATGTTTTAGTCAATATTTGTAAGATTTTGTTTAATGTAATTCTAAATTGTGTACATTTATTTTCTTTGGTTGTAAATGTTTTAATATTACAAATTTCATCCCTTTTTACGTTTTTGTTACGTATTACTATCGTTTTCATTGCACATTTACATTGCATTTTCCGACCACTAATTGTGTATGTAATGCATAAATATCGCAGTCACAGTATGTATCATGTTGAGTTGACATGAAAAATAATTCAATGCAAAAGGAGGGTGACTTGCTAACAAAGGATGCAACGAAGACTTAATATACTAATTTAGCTAATATATTTGCGACCGTTTTTTCTCCGCGGCTCACGTTAGTATAGCTTTGCGCTCGAAAACGCATGTGGCGCTTGTGTAGATGGTCTGTTGTTGCTCTACGCATGATATAATAAGAGCTGTATGTAGCCTCGCGCGTGACAGAGACTTTGTGTTAGAGACTTAGCTAGGTAGTGAGTTAGTGGATTAGAGCAGGAGGGAACACTTAAATAACTCGCAAATTAATATTATAAATAAAATTAACTGAATCATTAAAATCAAAATTACTTAGCCCATTTGATTCGTTACATCTCATGGATGAAGGTTACCAGCCTGCTTGATGACTGTGGGATCGTCCCAAAATGTAAAGAAATAGTATGTTGAAACTCCCTGTAAAACATAAATGTTGAACAAGACTAAAGACCTGATAAACAAGAGCATAAATGACCTTTGAGAGAACGCACTTTGCCTTTGCAGATAAGTCCATCAAAGTGAAGCGGGTACATCAGGAGATGAAGCGACTAAAAACGTGTAATTAATTTAAGAATTTTACAATTGCTCTGCTCCGCAAATGTGTTTTGTCAGTACGGTTTGTACTCTTACAATAATAAAACTTGTACTACTACACCATATTAGAACAGCACGATATGCATTGCGTGTTGTGCGGACCCCTTGCTTTATCGAAACCCAATGACCGCCTTCTTTTTTCAGCAAATCAATTGCAAGTCACCGAATTAAAAACACTAAATCACTAGCAATTCCAAATTATAGTTTTCTCTTCCCAATTCACACAAAGGAAATGAATATTTATTTTATAAATGTTTCCTAAATACTGAAAAGATGATCCAAAAATTACAATGTACGAATATGACTAACTTGTTGAATTATTGTTTATCTTACCAAAATATTAAAAATATTCTATTGCAAATTGAAGTAACAAAATGTTAATTCTACGAGTATCGTTAGCCACTTTAATTGCTACTGGTGATTGAGAGAGTTATTTTCTAACTAAACTTCCAATCATTAATCTCTCAGGAAAATATTCCTGCGATTTCTCTCCCAATCATGACGCAGCCCCCGTAAAAGAAGTCTTCGTGCGCCATTCATTTTGGTTTTACAACATTTTACATCTGAATAAGTTCAAATTCAACTATTCAAAATTCTTTATATACGTAACATTTATCCAAAATTTCTGTCCATGAACATAAAAGGGTATAGCATTAGGTGAGTATTTTAAAACTATGCTCGCGTTATTTCAACAAACTTATGTTTCTCGGATTTAAATGTATGGAC